AATGGGTCTAATAAATGATACTTTCCTGTTTTATACTTACAGTCTGTGATAAATATTTTGAAGGATCTTGCTCTAGTAGACTATGATATTGGTTAATTCTATTTGGTACAAATGTCCCTCCTCTGTCCACAGTCCTCCAGGGTTCCCACCTCCCTCAGGGTAAAAGACCAGGCCTCCCTGCAGCCCACAAGGCCCTTGATGACCTGTCCCTGTCACCTCCCTGTCCTCACCTCTCCGCCATCAACTCACTTCCTTCCAGCTATACACACAGACCTGTTATGATGCCAGAACAGATAACAAAACAGGCACAGCCCAACCTCAGGACCTTTGTGCATGCTATTCCCTCCATTTAGAATGCTCCTGCCCCAGATCCCCTTGACTTCAATCAGGCCTCTGGTCATATATTGCCTCCTCCAAGAAGCCTTCCATGCTTCCAGGAACTCCCTCTCTAAAAAGCCCCCGGGACTGGGTTGAATAATCCCCTAAATTCATGCCCACCTAGAACTTGTGAATGAGGCTTTATTTGGAAATACAGTCTTTACAGATGAAATCAACTTGAGATGAGGTCCTCCTGCATTAGAGTGGGTCCTAATCCAGTGTGACTCGTGTCCTTATAAGAAGAGGGAAATGGCCAGGCACAGTGGCTCATACCTGTAATTCCAGCATTTTGGGAAGCCAAGGTGGGCAGATAACCTGAGATCAGGAGTTCAAGACCAGCCTAACCAACATGGAGAAACCCCGTCTCTACTAAAAAGACAAAATTAGCCTGGCATGGTGGTGGATGCCTGTAATCCCAGTTACTTGGGAGTGCTGTGATTACACAGACATGAGCCACCAAGCCTGCCATTTCCCTCTTTTTTTTTTTTTTTTTTTTTTTTTGAGACCGAGTTTGGCTCTTGTTGCCCAGGCTGGAGTGCAATGGCGCAATCTCAGCTAACTGCAACCTCCGCCTCCCGAGTTCAAGCAATTCTCCTGCCTCAGCCTCCCAAGTAGCTGGGATAACAGGCATCTGCCACCACACTTGGCTAATTTTGTATTTTTAGTAGAGACAGGATTTCACCATGTTGGCCAGGCTGATCTCGAACTCCTGACCTCAGCTGATCCACCCACCTCGGCCTCCCTAAGTGCTGGGATTATAGGCATGAGCCACCGTGCCTGGCCTCATTTATTGGAACATTTCTAATGGAAAATACTGAGAAGCTAAATACCTGAGTTTTAGCCTTAGTTCTCTTTATAGAAGTTGTATCACTTTTATGTTAGTCCTTCAATTCCCAAATGCCTACTAACACATATAAATAGGGGAAATCCTTACAGTCTTACCACCTCATAGGGTGGCAATTTGGATTGAATGAGATGTATGGAATAACTTTTAAAAATGGAAAGCACATTATACATTATTATGTAGGCACAGCACTGGCCTCATAATAAGGTGAATAATTTTTCCCCCATGTCTCAAATATTAAAGGTAGCTTACCATCTTACACCTCAGCAACTCAGATGTACAAATTAAAGGTAAAGGGAACAACTTGTAACAGAAAAGCCATTTCAGTATCATGTTTTTCTTACTCTTCTAATAGTTTATAAAAACTCGATTTAAGATATTATATGCCACATATTCACTTCTGAATAGAGAAAAAAAATGACATATTTATGTATTCCGAAACACTTTCCTATGGTCTTTCATTTTATCTTTACAATTACAATAGTTCACAATGTGTAGTGCTATTCTTATTTTACACCTGAAATGTAGATTAAGAGACTTGCCCCAAGCCATACATGAGACTTATGGAGGAGCTGAAACTGACTCGTGCCCTTAGCACTTTTCCATTGATTCTCAAACTTTCATATATATCAGAATTAGCTGCGTAGCTTGTTATACAGACCAGTCGCTTATAACACAGGTAATTCGGATGTAGGTATTCTGTGGACAATATCGTGAAGCATTTCATTAAGCATGAAGAGAAGCACTTGATTTCTTCTGAAGGTGTTTGCTTGCTTTGTGTCAAGAACCCATGAGTTTCAAGGCTCTTAGTGACTCAGACTCAGTTTGCATTTCCCAATTTAGGAAAGTGTGAGATGAATAAATGCCCAGTATTGGGACTCCTGGACCCCAATTAAAACCCTCATTTGAAGGGCTTTCCTTGGCCTGGGAGAGCTTTCATCTGTGGGAAGGGCTCTCTGTCCTTTGGTGCCACCTAGGGGTCAGTTACTGATTTGTAAAAAAGAAATTTGATGGTCTAGGTAAAGAGGAAAAATAAAACAAAGGAAAACACAGGAGGAGATGAGAGAGATAACTCTAGGGGCTTATTTTTTATTCCTTAAAACAAATTTAAATTGCATTTATACTTTGGGTTTTTTCTCCTTATAAGGTCCCTAAGGGGGTGCACATATTCACTGTTGTATCCCTAGTTCCTACAACAGTGCCCAGCACATAGTAGGTGCTCAGTAACTACTTGTTGAATGAATAAGTGAATGATTAGTGAATATGCTCTAGTACTAGATGCTGTGCTATTAAAAGGATTTCTCTTCAAATCAATAGGGAGCCCAGGTGTACAAGATATTTCCAACCACACCAGTATAAAAATGTTATCGATATATCTATTAAAATAAATAATTTGCATTTTCTCCCATAGTGGATGCCATCAGAGAAGAGAGCACTCTATTGTTCTAATTTAAAGTACAGCTGAAGCTGGGGCATGGTGGCTTACGCTTGTAGTCCCAGCATTTTGAGAGGCTGAGACGGGTGGATCACCTGTGGTCAGGAGTTTGAGACCAGCTGGCCAACATGGTGGAACCCCGTCTATACTAAAAATACAAAAATTAGCCAGGCATGGTGATAGGTGCCTGTAATCCCAGCTATTCGGGAGGCTGAGGCAGGACAATTGCTTGAACCCTGGAGGCGGAGTTTGCAGTGATCGCACCATTGAACTCCAGCCTGGGCAACAAAGTGGAAACTCCGTCTCAAAAATTGAATAAATAAAAATAAAGTACAGCTCAAAAGCGTTCGCCTTTCCCTGACCTTCTTAATAGTAATACCACTAGGTCGGGCACAGTGGCTCACGCCTGTAATCCTAACACTTTGGGAGGCCAAGGCGGGCAGATCACCTGAGGTCGAGAGTTCAAGACCAGCCTGACCAGCATGGAGAAACTCTGCCTCTACTAAAAATACAAAAGTTAGCCAGGCGTGGTGGCATGTGCCTGTAGTCCCAGCTACTCTGGAGGCTGAGGCAGGAGAACTGCTTGAACCTGGGAGGCGGAGGTTGTGGTGAGCCGAAGTCACACCATTGCACTCCAGCCTGGGGGACAAGAGCGAAATTCTGTCTCCAAAAAAAAAAAAAAAAAAAAAACACTTTTCATAAATCTTAAAGCATAAAATCTTTACCCCTTTTATAGCATTCATCACTTATCCAACCTCGCTCTCTTTTTTTTTTTTTAATTTGCACATAAAACTTATTTCCTGGCTGAGCGTGGTGGGGTGGCTCATGCCTATAATCCCAGCATTTTGGGAGGTTGAGATGGGAGGATCTCTTGAGTCCAGGAGTTCGAGACCAACCTAGGCAACATAGTGAGACCCCATCTCTACCCGCCCCCCCCCAAAAAAAAGTATGTCTCTGTATTAATTAAGATTTTTTTGTTTGCATGTTAACTGAAATTTATTTGAGCTAGCTTAAGCCAAAACCAGGGAAATTACTATAGAAATATGGGAATGTCTTATAAAATCAAATAGCAGTAATACAGCTGGACCTACTGGAGGGCTCAGAAGCAGTAAGCAACTTAGGCATCAGTATATTCCCTGCATTTCTCTCTTTTTCATTTCTTCTTGGTCTGAAGCCCAGCTTTCTCTAATCCTCAGCCCTCATAGCAGCAGATGACTACCACATATGCAGTTTTTATATGCCTCAATTCCAGCCACACATAGAGATTAACTGGTTCTGAATATCAATTCCAAATTCCAAGTAGAGAAAATAAATTGACCCAGGTTGGGCCTCGTATCTAAATCTGCTTCAGTGAGCTTTGAGCAGAGCATATACTTCAATAAATGTCTAGTGCACTTCCCTATTGGAGTGTCAGTGAGTTGAGGACAGAAGTCATGGTTTAATAAATATTTTTATGTACTGAAAGCACATTGTTCAGATCTTCAAATATAGTGCTATTTAAGAAATATTCTTCAATTGAGGAATGAAAAGATTTCACCCAACTTCCCGTTTTTTTCTAGTTTGCTTTCCTTTCCTCCTTCAACAACAAAGAAAGAAAGAAAAGGAAGAAAGAAAGATATGAGTAGAACAGAAAAGAACAGAGTGATTAGATCTATAAATGATTAAACAGATTGTAATGTGGAAGATGAAAGAGGATAGATGTCATCTGTTTTTTTTTTCCCCAACATGCCTTGGACTCTGAGATTTTAAAAAATAGATAATTGGCCTACTTCTGATTCGTGCAAAAACAGGGTATTTCCCAGAAAGCTAAGACCATTGCAGATATTATCAGTTTAATTCTCATTGGAACCACCTGGAGAACTCTTACCAATACTGACATCAGGCTTCCACCCCAGACAGTTATGAGAATTTCACCCTGTGAGATTCAAGCATCTTATGTTTGAAAAGTTTCCTCACATGATTTCTATGGGCAGTCAGGGTGTAGAACAACTAGCTTCACTGAAGAAACATTTATGTAGACCTATGCATAGCACATCACCTAACTAAGGTTCACAGCAGCTCTGTGAGGTAAAAGGGAGTCACGCAGAATTAATCCCATTTTACAGATAGTGCAGTAGTGATTGCTGTGAAGTTGCCCATTTTGTAAGTGGTGGACCTAGGAACAGAATCTAAACCTGAAGAGATTTTTAATTTAATCTCATTAAGTCTTGCTGCCAAACACTAATGGGTTTAATTAAGAGATGGTTAGCAGTGCCATTCCTTGCCATCCCTCACTTAGTTGTGCATTCCTTCCAGTTCCTCTCCATTCACCTCTCTCTGTTTATCTTTTGTTCCTGGACACAGGAACTAAATAAAAAGAGGACCCAGAAGGAGATGGAGCATGCCATGCTAATCCGGCACGACGAGTCCACCCGAGAGCTAGAGTACAGGCAGCTGCACACGTTACAGAAGCTACGCATGGATCTGATCCGTTTACAGCACCAGACTGAACTGGAAAACCAGCTGGAGTACAATAAGAGGCGAGAAAGGGAACTGCACAGAAAGCATGTCATGGAACTTCGGCAACAGCCAAAAAACTTAAAGGTAAGAGGAGATAGCATTTCCCTATTTGTGCTCCTGGACAGTGTTGGACCAGATCAGTGGTTTCTCTCCCTGAAGTGTCAGAGTCACCCGAGCAACTTTTCAGAATCACAAATTTCTGCACCCCACACCTATTGCATCAGAGTCTCCAATTGTAAAGCACAGAGTCTGTATTTAAGCTCCTGAAAAGGAGATGCTGGGCAAGCTGGTTTGGAAACTATTATTATACTACATTATCTATCAATTTGTCCTCATATCCATTATGGAATTTCTCTGAGCACTTCATGACCTGCCCTCTTCAAAACTGGACTAATAGCAATTTATGGTTCTAATCCCAGGAAATAAGGAAGTTATATTGGTGTTAGATACTTTGAGCACCGCTGTATTGAGAAAGACTCTAAAGCCCCATCCAAGCTTAGGAGGAAAGAGTGTCATTTATTAGTGATGTCTGTCATGGTCATCAGGAATGAATCTACAAGTGCCTGACATTTACCACTTCTGCACTAGAGATGCAGAGATGTGAAGGAACTCCTGTGGCCTTCACTGCCTCCAGCTAATTTTAGCTGACTGCTAATTAACAAGTTCTGTGTACTAAGCCATTGCTATATATCCAGGAGGACATTGTCAGTGTTGGCACAGATGTGAGGCCAACCTCGATCACCCTGGCTGTGCGTCTCTTCAGTCAAATCCTAAGCTAAGCAGTGATTTCTGTCACCATTAGTCCTCAGAGTGTTTGTGAAGTGCACACATGACTATGGGGCCACCTGATGGAGTGCCTTCTGGGCTTAAAATGATATGCTCTACCTTCTCTTTGCCCAAATGCATATTTGATATTGCTACATGCAAGCACAACCTCTTAATGGGGAAAAAATTCTAAATCACTTTTCTCTTTCAGTTTACACTGAAATCCAGTGGAAATGGGTTAGGATATGAGGTACTATCCATGTGCTCTCCTTTATGGAGTTGATAAGAAATTGCTATAAACCAGAGCAGTGAGAGCTGGCTTATATAATGCTATCCCCTCTCTCACTTGGAAGCAAGGTGAAACACAAAAAGGAAAAAAAAAAGGAAAAGAATAATGAACAGTGGAAGACACTGAAGTGTTTATCTGACTAGGAAAGCATGAAAAGAGTTGCCACTCTTTCAGCAAGCTAAGCTACATAATATCCCTCAATCTGCTTAGAGTTGTAACAGTCCATGTTTTCTTTGGAGCCATTTGTAAATTCAAAATTACTTACAGTCATTCAATATAAAACCGAAAGTATAGGTGGAGTTAACTTTTGCTGTGTCATACATACTGCTTGATTTTTATTGATTAGCAATGTGGGTCACTGCACCAAAAAACAGATGCTCTCAGCACTTGTATTATATCATTATGGTAGAAGGCTTTCTGCATTTACTGATGTGCCTTTATTTTTCCTTTGTCACTTTTTCTACCCAGGCCATGGAAATGCAAATTAAAAAACAGTTTCAGGACACTTGCAAAGTACAGACCAAACAGTATAAAGCACTCAAGAATCACCAGTTGGAAGTTACTCCAAAGAATGAGCACAAAACAATCTTAAAGACACTGAAAGATGAGCAGACAAGAAAACTTGCCATTTTGGCAGAGCAGTATGAACAGAGTATAAATGAAATGATGGCCTCTCAAGCGGTAAGTGGTTAGGTTTGGTGCCACGGCTTCAAGAGCTTTGGGAATCGAGAAAATCCAAGATCCAGCCTGTTGTTCCCAAGATGATTCTTGCACAAATTTAGGATATTGATGTTTTTCTGCCCAAAGGACTGAGGAAAGGACGACGCTGAATAAAGCCAAGCCAATGTGGATACTTGCTGGAGTATCTTATAAGATGGAACTCAAGGAGTGACGTGCCACATCAGACCTGTGGCACATAGGGACTTTGAGGGCAAATGTGATAGATACCACATATGATATCATGTGTTCATTTATCAAAGATTTTACTGACTGCCCTCCTCCCAACTAATACCAGGCACAAATGAATAAGACAGTCCCTGCCCTTAGGGAGCCCACAGTCAAGTGAGGAAGACAGACACACAGACACACTCATGCATTAAACCTATTAAGCATCAGTGTTCAGCATTCTGCTGGACTCAGAGGGTGAGCTAGACAGACAATTTGTCAGTCAAGCCAGGTGGTCAGATAATGAAGCGGTAATAGTAAAACATGGTAAGTGGGGCCGGGCGCGGTGGCTCAGGCTTGTAATCCGAGCGCTTTGGGAGGCCGAGGCAGGTGGATCACAAGGTCAGGAGTTCAGAACCAGGCTGACCAACATGGTGAAACCCCATCTCTACTGAAAATACAAAAATTAGCCGGGCGTGGTGGCAGGCACCTGTAGTCCCAGCTACTCGGGAGTCTGAGGCAGGAGAATCGCTTGAACCCGGGAGACGGAGGTTGCAGTGAGCCGAGATCATGCCATTGCACTCCAGCCTGGGTGACAGAGCGAGACTCCGTCTCAAAAAAAAAAAAGTAAGTGGTTTGAAATGGGAGGTACTGGGGGTCAGGGGAGAACAAGTAGGACTAACTAAGCTGGTCTAGGGAAATCTTCCTGGAGGGAGCCAAGAAACTTTAAGGAATTCATTGACATAAACCGATTCCTTGAAACTGGAACCTACATAGGCAAAGGTTCAAACAAAGGAAAGTATATGGAGACAGAAAGAACTTTGGTGTGAGCCCGAAGTTCAAGAAGGAAGATTGCAGGAACCTAGAATGGAGAGGTCATAAAGGGAGCTTGGGATGGAAGCTTGCCTGGCAATTCAGTGAAGATTTCCCAAGGAGATGAGTCTTAAAGAGTAATAGTTTACCAAATAGACATAAGAGAAAAAGTTATTCCTGACAGAGGATACAGTATATGCAAAGACTTAGAGGCCTGAAAGAGGATGACACATTTGAGAAACAATGAGTAATTGCTATGGCAAGAGTATAGGATGCTTGTTGAGGGAAAGTGGGAGGATAGTCAGGGTCAGAGCCTCAGAAGCCAGGAGTTTGGATGTTATTTTGTAAGCAATGGAGTGCTGTTGAACCCTGTTTTAAGAAGGAAAGTGTAACTGGATCAGATTTGTGTTACAGAAAGATGTTGGCAGAAATGTGGCAAATATAGGTAAAAGGACCTGTTAGGAAGCCATTATAATAGTCCAGGAAAAAGATGATGAGAGAACATGCTAATGGAGATGGAGAGGAGTGGGGAAGGTTTTAAGAAATATTTAGGAGGCTGGGTGCGGTGGCTCACGCCTGTAATCCCAGCACTTTGGGAGGCTGAGGTGGGTGGATCATGAGGTCAGGAGATCGAGACCATCGTGGCTAACACGGTGAAACCCTGTCTCTACTAAAAATACAAAAAATTAGGCCGGGTGCGGTGGCTCACGCCTGTAATCCCAGCACTTTGGGAGGCCGAGGCAGGCGGATCATGAGGTCAGCAGATCGAGACCATCGTAGCTAACATGGTGAAACCCCATCTCTACTAAAAATACAAAAAAATTAGCCGGGTGTGGTGGCGAACGCCTGTAGCCCCAGCTACTCGGGGACCTGAGGTAGGAGAATGGCATGAACCTGGGAGGCAGCGTTTGCCTTGAGCCGAGATCGCGCCACTGCACTCCAGCCTGGGCAACAGAGCAAGACTCTGTCTCAAAAAAAAAAAAAAAATTTAGCCAGGCGTGGTGGCGGGCACCTGTAGTCCCAGCTACTTGGGAGGCTGAGGCAGGAGAATGGTGTGAACCCAGGAGGCGGAGCTTGCAGTGAGCCAAGACCGTGCCACTGTACTCCAGCCTGGGCGACAGAGCGAGACTCCATCTCAAAAAAAACAGTAGACGATGGTCTACCTATATTTACCTATATGGTAAAAAAGGAAGTGGAACAGATTGGGGAGTGGGAAGGAAAAGGTGATGTGTTGGCTGTGTGGAGCCTGAGAGCCTGGGAAGCATCCAGGGGAGGATGTCTCTGGTAGACTAGAGGAGCTCGTCTGGACCTCAGAAGGAAAGTCTGAAACAGAGGTTTAGTGTGGGAGTCATTTGCACATATGTAGATGGTAAATGAGGCTTTTGAAATAGATGAGATTCTTAGGAAGAGCGGTTAGAGGAAGAAGAGGGCCCAAGACAGAGACCTTAGGAACACTCGCATTTAAGGGCCAGGCGGGTAAGGACTCCTGGCAGGGGAATAGTCAGGGAAGACAAAAACCAAGAAGTTGTGGTATCTCAGAAGACAAAGATTTCAAGAAGGAAGGGGCAGTCGGCAATAATACCAGATGCTGCTGGAAGGTCAGGTAACGGACCACTTCCAGACCATCATGGGTTACCTCAATGTGAGCGGTAGAAGTAGAGGGTTAGGATCAGAATGAGTGCAAGGAAAGGAGTGGAGAGAGAGGTGAAAGGCAAAGAGAAGGAAGAAGTTGATAAGAGACGTAGAGGTTGATAGGGTTTTTGTCTTGTTACTCTTTATATTCTCAGCATCTGCAACAATGCGTGGCATACAGCCAGCGTTCAATGAATGTTTGTTATATAAAATGGGAGAGACTAGGCACAGTGGCTCATGCCTGTAATCCCAACACTTTGTGGGAAAGGTCACCTGAGGCCAAGAATTCTTGACCAGCCTGGGCAACATAGCAAGACCCTGTCTCTACAAAAAATACAAAAATTAGCCAGGCATGGTGGCACATGCCTGTAGTCCCAGTGACTTGGGAGGCTCAAGCCCAGGAGTTCAAAGCTGCAGTGAGCTATGATCACACCACTGCACTCCAGCCTGGGCAACACAACAAGACTGGGACTCTTAAAAAAAATAAATAAGATGAGAGAGAACAGGATCAGAAATAGAGGTCAATGATTACCCTCGAATAAAAGGAGAGAAATGCCCTTTCTTCTGAGACAGGGAGAAGATAAGTGTGTGATCATTACAGTATCCTTCACTGACTACTTACCATGTGGCAAGTACAATGGTAAATATCTCATAAGTGTTACCTCATTTCATTTTTGTGAAACCCCTTCGAAGTAGTTACCGTTTTGACCCTAATTTACCTGTGAGGAAACTGAAGTTCACTGAAGTAAAGCAACTTGCTTAGGACAGGAGTTGGCAAACTTTGTCTGTAAAGGGACAGATAGTAATTAACTTTGTGAACCACAGGGTCTCTGTCACAGCTACTCAGCTTTGCCATTGTAGCACAAACGCAGCCATAGACAAAACATAAATTAATGAGTATTAGCAGTGTCCAATAAAACTTTATTTACGGCCGGGCGAAATGGGTCATGCCTGTATTCCCAGCACTTTGGGAGGCCGAGGCAGGGGGATCGCCTGAGGTCAGGAGTTCGAGACCAGCCTGGCCAACCTGGTGAAACCTCGTCTCTACTAAAAATACAAAAAAATTAGCTAGGCATGGTGGCGCGTGCCTGTAATCCCAGCTACTCAGGAGGCTGAGGCAGGAGAGTCGCTTCAACCAGGGAGTTGGAGGTTGCAGTGAGCCAAGATCACGCCACAGCACTCCAGCCTGGCGACACAGTGAGACTCCATCTCAAAATATATATATATATTTATAAAAACAGGCACTAGGCTAGATTTGGCCCATGGGCTGTAGTGTGCCAACCCCTGGCTTGGGGGTAAGGGGGAAGGTCACATACCTAACTAGTGGTGGAGCTAGGATTTGAACCCATCTTGGGGGGAATCCGTACGCCTATATGCTTGACTGCTACTACATTATATTGCCTCTTATCATATATTTTTCCTCAGTGTAAGCCACTGTAAAGAATAGACATATTCACCTATACTCTTATAAAATTTTTAATGGAGCCGGGCACGGTGGCTCACACCTATAATCCCGGTATTTTGGGAGGCCAAGGCAGGCGGATCACCTGAGTTCAGGAGTTTGAGACCAGCCTGGCCAACATGGTGAAATGCCATCTCTATTAAAAATACAAAAATTTAGCTGGGCCTGGTGGCACTTACCTGTAATCCTACTCAGGAGGCTGAGGCAGGAGAATCACTTGAACCTGGGAGACAGAGGTTGCAGTGAGCTGAGATCACACCACTGCACTCAGCCTGGGCAGCAGAGTGAGACTGTCTCAAAAAGCAAGGAAAAACAACTTTTTAATGGATTTGATGTGTGTAACCTTGGGTGATAAATACTAAATCCTGTAATGTCTGATTTCTAGCACTGGGCCGTCAGAGTCAGAGCTGGTACAGAACAATGGTACCAGTTACTGATAATAATAATAGCATGCCAGAAATAAAAGGAAATGGAGATGTTCTGAATGTTTAAAGATGTTTCGATGGTCTAAACTGACCATAGAATGAACCTCTCACCCACTTAGCCGGGGCGTACAGCAACTAATGCAGACAAGTGGAATAGGACTTCCACTTCCTTCACTGATAAGGAACCTCCCATATCAAGAGGGAATCAATAACAGCCTTCACTGGGAGCCAGTAAATCCTTTGGCATTTACCTGTGAGTCTGTTCCTGCCAAAGACTATGTATTGTGTCTAATGTCTCTTATCCCTTCATTCCTTACTGGGAAAATGAGAACTATCTGTCCTCTTTAAGGGTTTTAATGAAACCTGGTTAGGATTAATTTTTAGACGGTACCTTGGAAATATTACATAATTTATTTTATGTTCCTTTAATCTCTATAGTATGTTTCTCCAGAAGTACTAAAAGAAGACACGTGCAAATAACTATCTAAAACTATTTTCTTTTTTTTTTTTTTTTTAGGCAGAGTCTCGCTCTGTCGCCCAGGCTGGAGTGCACTGGCACTATCTGGGCTCACTGCAAGCTCCACCTCCCAGGTTCACGCCATTCTCCTGCCTCAGCCTCCCAAGTAGATGGGACTACAGGCACCCGCCAGCACACCCGGCTAATTCTTTGTATTTTTAGTAGAGACGGGGTTTCACCATGTTAGCCAGGATGGTCTCGATCTCCTGACCTCGTGATCTGCCGGCCTTGGTCTCCCAAAGTGCTGGGATTACAGGCTTGAGTCACCATGCCCGGCCCTTCTAAAACTGTTTTAATATAACATTTTGAAAAGTAATTTTTCAATCAAGATATGTATATTGTCACAAACTGTACATAAGGTGGAGAATACGTATCTTGGAAAAGTGGTCAATATGGAAACACAGATAAGCTCAGGGTAGATGGACTGATTCAAGGGTTCTAATCTCAGTTCTCAGCCAAACTGAGGGCCTGCCAAAATTGGACCAAATCAAGCCTGTGACCAGGGGTCATCATTCCTAAACACTGTTCTGCTGATGGTCCGAAGCCTTCAACTGTGCTTTAAGAAGTTGGCACTTCTACTTGGTTCATTCTCCACGCAGGATCTGGGTATCTTGTATAAGACAAAGTTCAGGCATTGCTTCAAAGCAGTTATGCCTCTTAAAATTATCAAGGGTACCTAACCTCTATGGGGAAAAGATTTTTTCTTTTTATGAGACAAAGTCTCTCCCCCAAGCTGGAGTGCAGTGGTGTGATCATAGCCCACTGCAGCCTCGAACTCCTGGGTTCAAGAGATTCTTCTGCCTCAGCCTCCCAAAGTAGCTGGGACTACAGGCACATGCCACCATGCCTGGCTAGTTTTTAAAAAAATCTTTGTATAGATGGGGCTCTCACAATATTGCCTAGGCTAGTATTGAACGCCAGGCCTCAAGCAATCCTCACACCCTGGCCTCCCAAAGCAGTGAGATAACAGAGGTGAGCCAGCAGCCAGGGAAGAGATTTTGAACCACTTGGAGTTTTGGATTGGCTGGCTAGCAAGGTAACTTTGATAGCTGACAACAGGTGCCAACATTACTACTTGGAGCATAACAGTACTGTGGTATATCCCTCAAGTTTTATGGAAATTGGATTCATTTTTTTAGAGTTAAGCGTATCTAAATGATTTTAGGGTTAAAGATCTTGAAATAAGGACATGATCAGTTGAAACCAAAATAATGATAACTGCTACTATTTCTTGAACACTTGTAATGCATTGAGAACCGTGCCTAGGATTTTATATGAATTCTTTCATTTAATCTTCCCGCCAATCTCAGACAATAGGAACTATTCTTGTTATTTTCTTGAGGATGAAACACATGAGATCTAGCGAGGTAGGTAATGTGCCAAGGTGTAACACACACAAGTGGATGGTATAGCTATAATTCAAGCCCAGGAGCCTACCTCCAAAGCCCGCAGTTGTAACCTTCCTGACGCCTGCTGCTGTGGTTTCAGACCGCACTGAAAAGAATGTGTTTGGTACGTTGTAGCCCATTGGGCAGACTTGACTGTTTTTGATTCCTAACTCTGAATGTACCCAGAGCATCTCTGTTTTTGAGGAGGGAACCAATTTTAATCCAAGTGAGGAAGCCTCTTCCAGTAGTCACCAGGGGCTGTAGGCCACCAAGGGCCATAGGCAAGGGTGCATGACCGTGTGTGTCTTCTGTGCCCACAGTTACGGCTAGATGAGGCTCAAGAAGCAGAATGCCAGGCCTTGAGGCTACAGCTCCAGCAGGAAATGGAGCTGCTCAACGCCTACCAGAGCAAAATCAAGATGCAAACAGAGGCACAACATGAACGTGAGCTCCAGAAGCTAGAGCAGAGGGTGTCTCTGCGCAGAGCACATCTTGAGCAGAAGGTATGAGAGCATTACCGGGGGGTCCCATGCCACTGGGTGGAAGGGGGCGTGGCTGAGGGAACTGCCGTATATGCAGCCTTCCTTAGTTGGAGATTAAACTGGGCACTTTTCACTTATCTGCTTTATGCTACTGGTACCCTTGTGAGGTAGGCGTTGTCCCCATTCTGCAGGCCGAAACACCAAGGCACGCATGTCTGACCCCACATCCTAAGTCTTTCTGCTACTCTGCTAGGAAACCCTCAACGTTCCCAGCCAAAGGAATGACGTGGGTTGCTGGGGGGGATTGATGTGACACCTGAAAGGTACTGTGAGCTGATAGCAGGGCTGCCAAATGGCACAAGGAAGCCAAATGTATAATAGATTTGACTTTTCAGCTATTTTTAAACCGAGAGAAATCACCAGCAGGGCTCTTAAAAAAAAAATTAAAATGATGATAGGCTGATATTGCCATGCATAATAAATGTTATCCCAACTGAACTATGCATTGCTTTAGATATTCTGAGGAATATGAAGTAGAAAAAATTTCATAAGGCATCTCAAAGCTGTTAAGCATTTATTTGCTTAACCAGTTATTTGCACTTTCTTCCAGTAGTTCCCTGAGACCAACATAACAGACTATTTTCCCAGCTGCTGTTCTAGAACTAAATTACTAATGACCCAGGAGGCATTTGGCTCTCTGTGGGAAAGCAGCACAATCCAATTGTGCTTGAGTGTCTTTTAGCTTCTCCTGAGCCATCCCCTCACACAGGACACTGACCTAGATCCGCCCAGCTGCTGGGCTTGCTAGAATGGCATTGCCAGCCCCAGGTGGACCCCAAACATTTTTATTCTTGTGAGCAAGTTTTAAATATAATGATTTAGATGCATTGATCACAGGACTTGGCCAGCCTTCCTCGGTCCTCCCTTAGTTCCTGTGTGTGTGTGCACTTCATGTGTGTGCCTATATGTGTGTGCACGTCATGTGGGTGCCTGTTAGGAGATGCTTTCCATTAAGAACTGCATTGTGCTTGTTTCAGATTGAAGAGGAGCTGGCTGCCCTTCAGAAGGAACGCAGCGAGAGAATAAAGAACCTATTGGAAAGGCAAGAGCGAGAGATTGAAACTTTTGACATGGAGAGCCTCAGAATGGGATTTGGGAATTTGGTTACATTAGATTTTCCTAAGGAGGACTATAGATGAGATTAAATTTTTTGCCATTTACAAAAAAAAAAAGAAAACAGAAAAAAATTCAGACCCTGCAAAACCACATTCCCCATTTTAACGGGCGTTGCTCTCACTCTCTCTCTCTCTTACTCTTACTGACATCGTGTCGGACTAGTGCCTGTTTATTCTTACTCCATCAGGGGCCCCCTTCCTCCCCCCGTGTCAACTTTCAGTGCTGGCCAAAACCTGGCCGTCTCTTCTATTCATAGTACACGTCACAGTATTGATGTGATTCAAAATGTTTCAGTGAAAACTTTGGAGACAGTTTTAACAAAACCAATAAACCAACAACAAAAAAAGTGGATGTATATTGCTTTAAGCAATCACTCATTACCACCAATCTGTGAAAGTAAAGCAAAAAAAAAATAATAAATGCCAAGGGGGAGAGAGACACAATATCCGCAGCCTTACACCTTAACTAGCTGCTGCATTATTTTATTTTATTTTATTTTTTTGGTATTTATTCATCAGGAATAAAAAAAACAAAGTTTTATTAAAGATTGAAAATTTGATACATTTTACAGAAACTAATTGTGATGTACATATCAGTGGTGACATATTATTACTTTTTGGGGGATGGGGGGTGGGTGGGGTGAAGAGATCTTGTGATTTTTAAGAACCTGCTGGCAAGAGTTTAACTTGTCTTCAGCATATTCTGATTGTATCATAATCATTTTCTGCTGTTGCAGAGGATGTGAATACACTTAAAGGAGCTCACAGAATCCCAGTAGCACAAATTGGGCTTTGGCAAATCGTGTATTTTGTGTATAGAAGGAATTTAAGGAGAGGTATTACTTATTTTCATATTGTATTTTAACTGTTTCTCTGATCAAATTTTTTTACTTCCTCCTCCTGTTCCTCCCCACCTCCCTCCTTTTCCAATTCAGTATTTGGAGTTCAACACTGTCTCTCGATCAGATCATCTTGATCTTTTTCTTTACTTCCCTTCCCCTTCCTAAGTCCCATTTCTTGGTCATAAATATTGCATTATTCACACTTTCAAACTGTGTATTTTCTTACAATAAAAAATGATGAAAAAAAAAAAAGGCTTTACTTCTTTTGCATGCACTTTAAAAACAAAACAGAACATTTTTCAGGTTCCAAGGAAGAGCATGATAACTGTCAGAGCTTTTAATTATATTTGTAAATAAAAGTGTTCATCACATCGCCTTGCTGTGTTATTGTAGCAGGAGGTTTCCCTTCTAGGTTCACCAGTGCACGATTCAGAGGGACAGCCACCCTCCTGAAACTGTTCTCCACAGCCTCGGTGAGTCAAAGAGGAGCCATTCAAGACTTTCAGGTAAAGCTGCGTCTTCCAAGTTCTTCTATGGGGCCGAAGATAGTATTGCACCATTCGATGTGGGCTCACGGTCAACGGCACCTTTCTGTCCTAAAGAATAGAAGGCATCCGCACACACATACACACACACACAAAACCCCCCACGCGCCAGTCGTGCATAGAAGCATGCATTGCTGAAGAGAGAAATTGGGCACCCTTAAAGGAAAGCAGGCTGGGGAGAAGGCACCATAACCAAATATCTGAAATGATCCCGTGTAATATTAGACCCCCCTCCTCTCATATTCTGCTTTTATTACAATAATTTTACATGTAAAACAGATAGTAAAAAATACAAAATTTCAGGGATATGATTTGGGGGTCAGGACAATCTCAGTAAGATCCCATATGCTTAAGGCTGTATCAGGCTTGTCCAACCCACCTTATTTTGTTGTTACTCTGTTTTGTTTTAGGCTTTTGGCAGCCTGAGGCTATGGTTTTTGGTTTCCGTGTCTAGTGATACATGGAAAAGGGGGATGAGGAAGGGGCTTTAATGGCCCAACCAGAAACAGAAGCTAAGAACCCATGACTGTGTTCTCTCCCTTGGACACCCCTGGAAATTGCTCTTTAGAATAAGATGACCTGGGATGGGCCCAGCACTTCGGGAGGCCGAGGCGGGTGGATCACCTGAGGTCAGGAGTTCAAGACCAGCCTGGCCAACATGGTGAAACCCCGTCTCTACTAAAAATACAAAAAATAAGCTGGGTGTGGTGATGGGTGCCTGTAGTCCCAGCTACTTGGGAGGCTGAGACTGGAGAATCGCTTGAACCCGGGAGGCAGAGGCTGCAGTGAGCCAAGATCGTGCCATTGCACATCAGTCCGGGCAACAAGAGAGTGAAACTCCATCTCAAAAAAAAGAAGTACGATGACCTGAAGATCATTCTTGTTTCCTACAGGACGTTCATGTGTCAGAGACAAATGTGACCAGTCATGTTCACAATGACAGGCTAAAGCAGAAAGGTATACTCATAAAATTAAAAAATAATTACCAACATGGGTTAATCCCAACCGTAAAACCTTTTGTAACTCACACTCAGTGATAATTGTGTTTCCTAAATAGCTCTGTTCATTGGAGTTTCTATATTAGGTACATCTGAAAATAATACTGGAAAGGGCTAGAAAGAAGACGTAATGAAGAGAAGCAGATACCATGGATGGCGTGCTTACGCTTGCCACGTGACAGAACACTAGGATTTCACAGATGAAGAAATAAGCTCATGCCAGAGTAAGTGGCGGGGTGGGGTCTGAATCGAGACCTGTCTGATCTATATCCAAAGGGGTATTCCATCTTCGGTAGGGTAGGAAAGCTTCCTGTAGCCTATTTCATCCATTTCTCACTGTGGTGAAAAATGTCTAGCTAGTTTGGGAAAGGGCTCTATGTCTGAGACTGTAGGTGCTATCTTTAGAAAAGGTCTCGGTGGCTCACAGCTGTAATCCCAGCACTTTAGGAGAGCGAGGTGGGTGGATCACCTGGGGTCAGGAGTTTGAGACCAGCCTGGCCAACATGGTGAAACCCTGTCTCTACTAAAAATATAAAAATCAGCCGGGCGTGGTGGTGGGTGCCTATAATCCCAGCTACTCGGGAGGCTGAGATAGGAGAATTGCTTGAACCCGGGAGGCGGAGAGTGCAGTGAGCCAAGATTGTAGCACTGCACTTCAGCCTGGGCAACAGAGCGAGACTCGGTTTCAAAAAAAAAAAAAAAAGGTCCCACTGCACAGTTGTCAGGGATGTGTCCCAGGGCAGTTACCAGGAAACAGGGATGTGGGTCCCTGCTCCTAACACCTGCTATGGACAGAGTTGTCCAACTCCTCCTAGTACCTGCCTGAGGAGGCAGTAAGGAAGGCAGGGGGACTAGGAAGGCTGAGGCAGGAGAATCGCTTGAACCCAGGAGGTGGAGGCTGCAGTGAGGAAACAGGCCTGAGGAAACTGGGCTTTTGTACTTTATTCTTATATGACAATCAGGCCAAGTTTAGTCATTTACATATATTAACTATTAATCCCAACAAAAGATGATTTTGTCCTCCAACAACCCTGTGAGATAAATAAGGCGGGCTGACAACCCCCTGCAAACCTGATTTTCTTTTCAAATGAGGAAGCTGGAATTTGTGACCCAGTGGGCCTGGTGGTTATGAGCTGGACCTTGAGGACAGAGCTGAGTTCAGAATGGGGGTCACCCACTTCCTAGCCACCCTTGGGCAAGTTCGCATCACATACCAGTTGAAGAAGGGAAACATGGCATCACCCTTCTTTCTAAGATGACTACTGCCTTCTCATACATATGTATTTTTTTCTCTTTAGTACCATGTTAGTATTAATATGTTTTTTTTCTTTTTTTTTTTTCTTTCTTTTTTTTTAGATGGAGTCTCACTCTGTCACCCAGGTTGGAGTGCAGTGATGCGATCTTGGCTCACTGCAACCTCCACCTCCCAGGTTTAAGCAATTCTGCCTCTGCCTCCCGCGTAGCTGGAATTACAGGTGCCCACCACCATGCCAGGCTAACTTTTGTATTTTTAGTACAGATGGGGTTTCACCATGTCGGCCAGACTGGTCTTGAACTCCTGGCCTCAAGTGATCCACTCGCCTCAGCTTCCCAAAGTGCTGGGATTACAGGTGTGAATCACCGCGCCAGGCCAGTATTGATAGATTTTTCTTTTTATGTTAATTTCTTTTGCATTTATTTTACCACCTTTGGTTGGTTTGTTCACCTTATTCTGAATCATTTGAGTCTGTACCTGTTTTAGACAAGGAAACTAACAGATCATTATAGTTCCTCATTAATCTGCAGACTTTGAAAAAGGACTTGTGGTTATCAAAATGTCTCATTAAAACAGAAGTTTAGAGAAAAACTATATGATTTTAAATATGCGTAAATATCAAATTGTCAAAATGTTTGAGAAGACTGATAAGAGTATGAAAAAGTAGGTACTTTTTTTTTTTTTTGAAATGGAGTCTCGCTCTGTCACCCAGGCTGGAGTGCAGTGGCGCCATCTCGGCTGACTGCCAAGCTCCACCTCCCGGGTTCACGCCATTCTCCTGCCTCAGCCTATCGAGTAGCTGGGACTACAGGCACCCGCCACCACGCCCGGCTAGTTTTTTGTATTTTTAGTAGAGATGGAGTTTCTCGGTGTTAGCCAGGATGGTCTCGATCTCCTGACCTCGTGATCCACTCGCCTCGGCCTCCCAAATTGCGCCCAAATGACAGGCGCTCGCCACCACGCCTGGCCAATTTCTGTATTTTTAGTAGAGACGGGTTTCATCATATTGGTCAAGCTGGTCTCGAGCTCCTGACCTCAGGTGATCTACCTGCCTCAGCCTCCCAAAGTGCTGGGATTACAGGCGTGAGCCACCGCGCCCGGCCAGAAGTAGGTAATTTCATACGCCACTGACGTGAATCTAATCAGTGTGATCTCTGCGAAGAATGGTTTCTCAGTATCAGAATTGAAAATGAGCGTGGGCAACACAGGGAGAGCCCGTATCTACTGAAAAAAAAAAAAAAAGAACTGTATATGGTGGCACAGACCTGTAGTCCCAGCTATTTGGGTGGCTGAGGTGGGAGGATCCCCTGAGCCCAGGAAGCAGAGGCTGCAGTGAGCTGTGAGCCACTGCACTCCAGCCTGAGCCACAGAAAGAGACCCCGTCTCAAAAAAAAAAAAAAAAAAAAAAAAAACTGAAAATGTATATATCCTTTGACCTAATTTTTTCAATACTTGGAATTCACCCTACAAAATTACTTGAAAAAGCATTGTATACATATAAATGGTCACTGAAGCACTGTTTATAATAGCAAACAACCAGAAATAACCTATCACCCAAGGGGGCTGGTTAAATACATCATAGAACATATATAAGATCAAATATTTGCTTCAAATAACATTTGTGGTGAATGCCAGGTGCAGTGACTCGCACCTGTAATCCCAGCACTTTGGGAGGCCCAGGCGGGCAGATCACTTGAGGTCAGGAGTTCTAAGCCAGCCTGGCCAACATGGCAAAACCCTGTCTCTATTAAAAATACAAAACAAACTAGCCAGGCATGGTGGTGCAAGCCTGCAGGAGAATTGCTTGAACCCAGGAGGTGGAGGTTGCAATGAGCCGAGATCGTGCCATTGCCCTCCAGCCTCAGTGACAGAGCAAGACTCCGTTTCAAAACAAACAAAACAAAACATTTGTGGTGACTTGTTAACTGAAGATTCATTAGCTTGGGGAAAAAAAAAAAAAAGGCAGAACAATGTATGCCAGTATCTAGAGTAAGACTTATTTTTTAGAATAAATATGTATATATGCTGATACATATATTTTTATTTACCAATAACTAAATGGAAGGTAGGAGACATTTTCTTCCTATAGCGCACAACTTGTCTAACCATGTACATGTATTACACTTTACTTTTTTTTTTTTTTTTTTTGAGATAGGCTCTTGCTCTGTTGCCCAGGATGGAGTGCAGTGGTGCAATCACGGCTCCCTGCAGCCTTGACCTCCTCACCTCAAGTGATCCTCCCACCTCAGCCTCCCTAGTAGCTGGGACTACAGGAGCAAGTCCACACATCGGGCTAACTTTTGTATTTTTTAGAGACAGGGGTTTCACCATGTTGCCCAGGCTGGTGATCTGCCCCACCTTGGCCTCACAAAGTGCTGGGATTACAGGTGTGAGCCTCCATGCCCAGTCTTTACATTTATTTTCAAGGTCAAGGTCAACAGGATAGCTGTTTTTTTCTTTTTTCTTTTTTCTTTTTTTTTTGAGATGGAGTTTCACTCTGTCGCCCAGGCTGGAGTGCAATGGCGTGATCACGGCTCACTGCAACCTCGCCTCCCAGGTTCAAGTGATTCTCCTGCCTCAGCCTCCTCAGTAGCTGGGATTACAAGCGCCCACCACCATGTCCAGCTAATGTTTGTATTTTTAGTAGAGACAGTGTTTTACCATGTTGGCCAGGCTGGTCTTGAACTCCTGACCTCAGCTGATCCACCCACCTCGGCCTCCCGAAGTGCTGGGATAACAGGCGTGAGCCATGGCGCCCGGCCGACAGTTGTTTTCTTTATAACTTGTGTTCAGCAAAATCTTATTATGTAAAAAATGAATTTTAAAACTCTAAAGTCAAAAAAAAAAAAAAAAAAAAAAACGTCCAGGCTTGGCATGGTGGCTCACACCTGTAATCCCAGCACTTTCGAAGGCCAAAGCAGGTCAGGAGGTCAGGAGTTCGAGAGCCGCCTGGCCAACATGGCAAAACTCCTTTTCTACTAAAAATACAAAATTAGCTGGGCGTGGTGGCACATCCCTGTAATCCCAGCTACTCAGGAGGCTGAGGCAGGAAAATCACTTGAACCCACCCAGGAGGTGGAGGTTGCGGTGAGCCGAGATCGGCCTGGGTGACAGGGCAAGACTCTATCTCAAAAAAATAAAAAAACAAGAAAACTTACATCTACCTTATGTGCTTCCAGCGAGGCAACATTTTCAAGTTTTTTCAGAAAAAAAAAGTACTGCAGTGAAAGATGGGGAAGGGCCAGTCATTAGCGCCTGTCAGGCCTGATTCAGGATCCCCCCTTTCCATTGCAGACACCAAATCAGTGACTTGCACCTTCAAACACCTCCTTTCCTTTCTTTTGGTACATCAGATGGCATGAGACCGTGACCTTCTCACCCTCCTACCCTGCGCACCTCTTTGGTGCTGATCCTCTGTGGAGAACACTCGAGAACGGAAAGTGCAGGCTACTTCTTAGGCATTGTTACAGTGTCCGCACCAGACTTCACCAAGCGGGAAGGTTTTCAGCCGGCTTCTTCAGAACATCCTACTCAGGTCAAAAGGACCACTTGAAGCAAAGGTGCTTTTGGGGCAAGACGACTCGGCCTCACGTTTTATGATTTTTTTTTTTAGAAACCTCAAGTCTACCGGTTTGCTCCTACTGTGGGTTAATGGCACATGTAGAGGCACGGGCCCTCCGTACGGCCCCTGAAACAAGTCCCAGCCATTACTTGCTGGTCACGGAGACGACTCACCCTGGGAGACTTTGACTTCCCAGGCTTATGAAACACACACCCAATAGGACAAAACATCCGGGGACTCGGTTCCTCCATTCAGGTTTCTATTTTTATTCAACTATAAGCAAACAGCACAATTAATGCAACATTCAGCAATTCCAGACCAGCTTTTCTGACCCCCATGAGAACGATCAATTTAACAGACAAAGATGTAAGGATTCCTCCTAAGCTGTCAGCGAGCACTGCTGCTGGTCTCCATGGCCACGTCCCAACGGCAGCAAAGCTACTCTTCCTCCTGCCTCTTCCAGGACTGCTCTTTAAAGGGGGCACAGCGACATGCTGATGCCTGTCGTGGCATCTGAGATGTACCGTGTTGGGGGTCAGCCTCAGTGCCAGCCTCTGCTTGTCTAGGTGAGCGACATCACCATAAAAGCACATTGTGTACCATTCTGGACTCAGGTTCACAAAGGCAGAGGCAACCAATCTTTTTTTTTTTTTTTTAACCTCCCTTAAAGATTATTTGACGCTTTGCTCTGTCACTGTAGAACTGGTCTTTCCCCACCCCCCCAACTTTTTCTTTTTTACATTCTGGGTTGCTATTTTCAGATGAACAATTTGATGACCCCATCACAGTACCAACATATCCCCCAAAACGAAGTTCAAATTTGATCAAAACATAAATCAGAGTGAGTGAGTAAAATTAGAAAGGTCAGGCAGCAGGAAAAGTCACCCTCAAACACCATCTGACTGGTCAGGTGTCGTCTGTGCCAAGGGGGACAGGAAGAGGAGAAATCTATTATACATGCAACACTGAACTAGGGAACAGGGCTTGGGGCCTCCAGGACACTTCAGATCCCCAACCTAACCCCCTACTTCCCAGACAGCTGCTCGTACAGTTTGGGCACATAGTCGTCCCACTCGGCCTGGTAACACGCGCCGGCCACCGGGGCCCCGAGCTCGTACTTTTTACGGAAGGACGCCACCTTGAATTTGCCACGGTGGTCTCCAGATCGGTTGCTGAGGATGGGCTCGTCACACTTTAGCGGCCTGGCCTGCTCGTAAACCAGCCAGACGTAGCGGTGGAGGCCTGTGGGGAGAGGCAGAGGGAAGATGTACACACAGCCCAGCACTTGAGATGGGGACATCACTGGTTTTTATCGAATGTTTCAACATGGAGGCACCCAGACCACACCATTTACAAGGAGGACACCAAGGGTCCAGACAGGTATTTGGTACAAATTAACATTTAATGGCAATTAACATATTAATGGCAAAAACCGCAATTACTTTTGCCACCAACCTAATAGAATATGTGAGGCCCCTGCTGTAACGTGTCAAGCCCAAGCCCTTAGTTCCAGCCTCTCCTGGCCTGTGGGATCTGGCCTCTGCACCCCCTTATCCTCGCCTCCCACGAGGCTCTGTGCTCTTCATTCACCCCACTTCAGGCTCCCAGCCAATCTCAAGTCACCACCCACCACCTCCGATCAGAACACCCGTTTCACTTCTGTCAGGTATGAGAACCCAATTAAGGACAAAGCAAATCAATGACTAGGGCCCACCATACCACAATCGAGCCTCCAGAATAAAGAAGAACATTTTCTATCTCCAAAACTTACTTCCTTAGAAAACTGGAGACCTACTTTGACGTGACCCAAACTCACTTTAAGCAGCTTTCAACAAGCTTCAATGATATACTGGATGCAAATAGGTACCATGAGCTTTTTTTGTAAAAGTAGGTTTTGTTTTGTTTTTTAAAGTGGGTTTTGTTTTTTTGGTTTTTGGATGGAGTTCTCACTGCTGTTGCCTAGGTGTGGAGCGCAGTGCATGATCTTGGCTCACTGCACCTCAGCCTCCAGGTTCAAGCAATTCTCCTGCCTCGGTTCCTGGTAGCGTATTATGGCACACCCAGCAGTTTTTTTTTTTTTTTTTTTTTAATATTTAGTAGGACCAGGTTTCACCCATGTTGGCGAAACTCCTGGACTCAAGTGATCGGCCACTAGCCTCCAAAGTGGCTGGGATTAGCTGGGAGGCCACTGGCCAGCTCGAAAAAATTGTTATTTTATTTATTTTTTTTTTGGAGGCAGGGTATTGCTCTGTTGGCCCCCCCAGGGCGGGTGCAGTGGACATGATCTTGGCTCACTGAAGCTCGCTTCCGGGTGCACCATTTTCCTGGCCTCAGCCTCCCAGTAGCCTGGACTTACAGGGGGCCCCGCCCTCGCCTGGTAATTTGTATTTTTGTAGGAGGTTGGGTTTACCTGTTAGCAGGATGGTCTCAATCTCCTGACCTCATGATCCGCCCACCTCGGCCTCCCAAAGTGCTGGGATTACAGGCTTGAGCCACCACACCTGGCCAAAAAAGCTATTTTTAAAAAAGTTCTTTAAATATTTGCACACCGATGTTCAGTGCAGCAGTATTCACAATAGCCAAGAAGCAGAAGCAACTCGACTGTCCACTGATGGCTGAATGGATGATCAGAATGTGGTTTATACACACAACATAATATTATCCAGCCTTTTATTTTTTCTTTACTCCTCTGTGTTACTCTAGGACTATTCAGCCTTAAAAAGAAATTCAGACACATGCTACACCAAAGAACCTTGAGAACATTACATTAGTGAAATTAGCCAGTCACAAGACAAATATCGTACAATTCCACGAGGTATGTAAAATAGACAAACACTGCAACAGAAAGCGGAATGATGGCTGCCAGGGCTAGTGGAAGGGAAATGGGGAGCTGTTGTTCAATGGGGACAGGGTTTCTGTTAGGGAAGATGAAAAATCTAGAGATCTGTTTCACAACAATGTGAACGCAGTGGCCGGGCACGGTAGCTCAGGCCTATAATCCCAGGACTTTGGGAGGCCAGGATGGGAGGGTCGCCTGAGCCCAGCAGGAGGAATTTGAGACCAGTTTGGGCAATATGGTGAAACCCCATCTCTACCAGAAACAGAAAAATTCACTGGATGTGGCAGCCTGTGCCTGTGGTCCCAGCTTCTCGGGAGCCTGAGGTGGGAGGGTTGCCTGAGCCCAGGAGGTGAGCTGAAAACATGCCACTGCGCTCCAGCCTAGGGGACAGAGTAAGACCCTATCTCCAAAAAAAAAAAAAAAACCCAGTGTGAATGTAGTTAACACTACTGCAGTGTACACTTAAAAATGGTTAGGATGGAGGGGTGCGGTGGCTCACGCCTGTAATCCCAGCACTTTGAGAGGCTAAGGCAGGTGGATCACTTGTCAAGAGTTTGAGACCAGCTTGGCCAAGATGGTGAAACCCCGAATCTACTAAAAATACAAAAATTAGCCAGGCGTGGTGGCGCGTGCCTCTAATCCTAGCTACTCAGGAGGCAGAGGTGGGAAGATCACTTGAACCTGGGAGGTGGAGGCCGAAGTGAGCTGGGATCACACCACTGCACTCCAGCCTCAAAAAAAGGGTTAAGGTGGTAAATTTTGCCAGGCATGGTGGCTCTTGCCTGTAATCCCAGCATTTTGGGAGGCCAAGGCAGGCAGATCACCTGAGGTCGGGAGTTTGAGACCAGCCTGACCAACATGGAGAAACCCTGTCTCTACTAAAAATACAAAATTAGCCGGGTGTGGTGGCGCATGCCTGTACATCCCCGGCTAACACCGGGAGCGGGCTGAGGGCAGAGAATTGCTTGACCTGGGAGGCGGAGGTTGTCGTGAGCCAGACGGCGGCCACTGCCCGAGCCTGGCAATAAGAGTGAACAAACTCTGTCTCCAAAAACCAAACAAACAACCAAACAGATGGTAAATTTTATATGATATTTTATAGAGTTAAAAAATAAGCTTTCAAAAAGCAAGTAACTACGCAGTTAACAAAACAAGAATGGGTCATAGGCATTAAAACCCTCATTAGTCATCAGGGTGAGTGAACAGTAAACCACAAACATGGGCTTTTTTTTGTTTTTTTTTTTTTGAGAAAGGACTCTCAACTCTGTCGCTCCAGGCTGGAGTTCGCTAGTCGGCGCGATCTTAGCTCACCTTCAATGTCCACCTCACCTGGTCCCACCATATCTCCTGGCGTCATCAGTCCTGAGTAGCTGGATTACAGAGGCGCGCCGCACCATGGCCTTGCTAATTTTTTTAGTATTTTTAGTAGACGACAGGGTTTCACGTGTTAGCCAGCGAGTGTCTCGATCCTCCTGACTCATTTATGTCGGCACCACTTCGGGCGGCTCCTTGAGTGTGGGGATTAGCAGGTGTGAGCGCCGCGCTTACGGCTAGAATGGGCACCATTTACAACTCACTTAATGTTTAAAGTCAAAAAACCAGGCTGCGGCATCGGTGCTTACACTGTAATTCCCAGCATTTTCCGGAGGGGCCAAGGGCGGCACATCACACGTCAAGATCAACCGCACATGCGCCCTGGCTAAGCACAGTGAAATATCTTGTCTCGTACTAAAAAATACAAAAATTAGAGGCCAGTGCACGTGCTGGGCGGCCTGTTAGGCCCCAAAAGCCCTACTCGGGAGGCGGAGCTTGAAGTGAGCTGAGATGGCGCCACTGCACTCCAGCCTGGGCGACAGAGCGAGACTCTGTCTCAAAAAGAAAAAAAAAAAAGACCGACAACACCTAATGCTGGCATGGAGCTACAAGGATGTTATATGCTCTACTGAAACTTTCAGATATTGCTGATCAGAGTATAAAGTTTTCTTTTTCTTTTTTCTTTAAGACAGGATCTCTATCACCAAGCCCCGAATGCAGTGGTGTGATCACAGCTCACTGCAGCTAAAGTATAACATCTTCAACCATTTGGAGAACCTTGGGGAAATTTCCATGACTAACAATTCTACTCTTCAGTATTCACCCAAGAAAAATGGAAACACCTGCCTACAAAATGACAAGAATGTATACATACAAGAATATATGGTGGGCCAGGCACGGTGGCTCACACCTGTAATCCCAGCACTTTGGGAGGCTGAGCCGGGCAGATCATCTGAGGTCAGGAGTTCAAGACCAGCCTGGAACATGGAGAAACCCTGTCTATACTAAAAATACAAAAATTAGCTGGGCGTGGTGGCGTCTGCCTGTCATCCCAGCTACTTAGGAGGCTAAGGCAGGAGAATCATTTGAACCAAGGAGGTGGAGGTTGCAGTGAGCTGAGATCAAGCCATTGCAATACAGCCTGGGAGACAGAGCGAGACTCCATCTCAGAAAAAAAAAAAAAAAGAAAAAGAATAGTGAAAGTGATTTATGGAGACAGGAGTCAGAATATGGTTAGCTCTGGGGGAATTTAAGTAAAAAGGTCACGTGAGAACTTGCTGAAGGATGGAAATGTCATCTATCTTTCCAATGGCTGGTACCTTCCATGGGTGTAGGCATTGATCACATTTGCTGACTGAACCCTTCCGATCTGTGCATTTTGTTACATGTAAATTATACCATATTACAAGAATATGGAAAAAGCAACAACAAGAAAATGAGTTACTGAGGCTTTTTTTAAAAATGAGAACACAGCTCTTACTTGAGAGAACTGCTTTATTCTCATGGGTAAGCTTCCCATAATTAAGCTGCCTAATTTTATAACTGCCCTAGACAACTTAATAGGTCCCTGGGAAATCTGTCCCTTTACCATCTATTATGCATATGTGAGAGGGTTTAAAGGCATCTGAAGCTTCCCGGTCTCCAGAGAAAACAAGATCCCGTGACCAACTGTCCATGTCAGGGATGTTCTTATACCTCTTCATGTTAACTCCTGGCTGGATAAGCTGTACGAAAGCTAGGATTGTGACAGTTCCGCCAAATGGAAACATCCTGCACTGAACACCAGGCAGTAAGAATGCATCTCTCACCATCAGCTTAGGCAGCACTTACCCAACCTCAAAGTTTCAATATGGTGGTCTTTCTCTTTCTATCTCTAGATGTCTACATGTATTTTATATGTAATAGCTATAACACGATACAACACAATACAATGAGTGTGTGTGTGTCTTCAATATAGTTCTGCTGAAGTCTTCCAAATCTTTTTTCAATATACCAAGCTAGACTTTTTCAGAAAGAGGGAGCAAAAAATGAATGCAGAAGGCAACCTTATATAGTTCATTTGGAAACTGATCATTTCTGAAATTTTTTATAGAATTAGCAACTCAAAGATCACCCCGGGCAAAGGCTTGAGATAGTTTAACTGTGTATTCCACCCAGTGCAGCCCCAAAAGGCCATGCTAAGCTTTCCGCAACAGTGATTCCCTCTCACCGACTTCCCTGCTTGCTAAAGGGCTAGGGATGCAGAGGCCACTCCACACAGAGGCCACTCCACACATCTGTCCAGAACCCAAGGCTCTAGCCACCTGACCCTCCTGCAGGTGTGAATGTGTGCCCTGAAGGCAGCTGCCCTACAGGTGAGCTGAGATGCTATTTCCAGCAGGGTTAAGGGCTCTCAAAAGAAAAGAAAAAAGGCCAGGCGCGGTGGCTCACGCCTGTAATTCCTGCACTTTGGGAAGCCGAGGCAGGCGGATCATGAGGTCAGGAGATCAAGACTATCCTGGCTAACACGGTGAAACCCCGTGTCAACTAAAAA